TGCGGAGATAATAACATGCACAAAAACAAGACAGAGCAAAACCAAGCAACAATATACAACAAAACAACAACAACAACAAAACAATGACAGAAAAAAACAAAACAAAACACAAGAAAGAAAAGCTTGTAGTTAGTTCAAGGATTGTTTGGAAAAATTTTATTGTGATTCTTATATCACCTGAAGTTTGGTATGGACCACACATATCACCCAAATAAATGCTCATTTTGCTACACAGGAAAATTTTATAGTTGTTTTTCCAATATTTTCCTTTTGAAGGTTACTTGTGTTTTTAATCGTGCATTAAGAGAACTGTTGGGGAAAGGTGGGTAATGAATCTACCTATAAGTCGAAGAATGTACTATATTTTTGTAACTATTTAAAATTCATATTATGAGTTCACATATATTTAGAGGAGCCTTGGTGTTTTGTGATGATGCATTGAGCTGCAATCCTCATAGTCAGCAGTTTAAAATCACAGGCACTTTGTGGAAGAAAGCAGAGATTATCTACTCCCATACAGACTTACAGACTTGGGAACCTAGAGGGGCAATTCGACCTTGTCGGTTGGGTTGCCATGACTCAATGGTAGTAATTTGGTTTGGTTTATTGTAAGTGATTTTATAACATATAATAGATTTTAATTATTCCATACAATTGTATTAAGTTGGATTAGTGATATTCTTGCTGATATGTGCTAAAATAAAAATACATTGGCTTTTTATGTAACTCTCATCTCACCTTCAGTTAACCTCTTAGCCTTTATCTGAGTTTGGATTTTTACAGGTAGTACTTTTAAAAGTTAGAGCAGTTGCTCTTGTTTCTAAAGTGTAGTTACAGAGATTTATATTCTTTACAGAACAAACATTAAAAAACAAATTTAAGCAACAAAATTATAATTTGTTTTTCTTATTATCATTTTTCTCATTAAAATGTTTTTAAATTATTTAATGCTATACAACCAATCTAAAATTTTCCCAAAGTAACGTCATTCTAATAGATATCTATTTAGGAAAATAATGCCAAAAATAACATATTTCAGTTTAATATATAATAGCATATATGAGTAGAATATACATTGTATATATTATCTAGGTTTTATAAATATAAATTCAATTTTATATGATTAAAATATATCCATGCCTCTATGTATACAAGTATGTATAAATGTCATTTAGATTAAGTAACTATAATCTTTTATGTAGGTTTTCTGTTTTAAAACAAATAATTTAATCACTTTATTTCATCTGATTTTATTTGAATTACAAGATATGTTTACATAAAAATGTTGAAATGTGTTGACTCTGCATTGTTTTACTGCTTAATGGAAATTTTTCATTCTAAAATTTAAATTTAAGAATCATATTATTAAATTTAAGAATCATACTTTATATTTGTCAATCGTACTTATAAAATTTTGATCATGTGCGATATTTGTGGAGTGAGAAAATACTGGGATCAGACTTTTTTAAAGTATTACTATTATAAATTTCACACTATCATACAAAATGTTCTTCCGGTAAGCTTTTAATCAGGAAGAAGCTTGACAATATTGTTGACAATATGTGACACGTTGGCTCTCAAAAGAATGGCTTACCTATACAGTGCACTGGGTACCCTTACGGGTAATCTCGTGTTTCTCTCTTTATCCAAATACTGAATAAGCAGGAAAGGTTGGTCTGCTGCTAGTAGAACACACATTTCCTTGTTGTCTGGGTCATGCCAGAGCTCATATAGCAACAAAATCACCCTGCTCAGTCCAGGTATGCTTGTGTATTTATTTTGGCTATAAAAATTACTCCCTGGGTCTGTTCAAAACATCTGTAACATTTTTAGTAAATGAATTGCTCCTTGGATTTCCACCCCCCCTAATTCTGGTAAGTATGATAGAGATTTAAAGAACAAAGATCATGTCTAAGTCCTTTTGTGTCAACAATTTTGGCTATAAACTATATCCATTATTGTAACTATCAAATAGTTCATCCTTAAAAAAATCTAATGTCTTTAATGTATAATATGTCAGTTTTGTGAGAGCATGTCCCTTTGTAAACCATTACTAGTAATAAAAGGAAGGAAATGAAAAAAAGGAAAGAAATGAAGAAATCTGTAGGTCTTTAAGTAGCACAGACTATAATTATTTTATTATTATATACGTATACTTATTAAGGTTATATGAATTTTGGAACTTTTAGATAGTTGCTGGTGAGTTACTTTTGAAAATGGCAGCAGCCCATTATTGATTAAATGATCTTATTATTACTCTGCTCTGCTTCTCTGTTTTCCTTACTTCCAAGAGTCAGAGTCATTTGAGTTCATCATGAAAGACATAATCATAGGGCCAGAAGGGTGAACACCTGTTTTGAGACTACTAACCGTGAAGGGCCTTGTATCAAATCAACACTCTTGCCACAAAAGTCTGTGAGAAGTGACTGAAACATGGAAGAAAAAATAAAAGAAAGAAAATAGCTTGAAGGCATCTGAGAAGAGTCAGGCAATCAGATCTTCAGGACTCAATACTTTAGCAAGAAAGAAAGCGCAGAGTCGGGGCGGGGGG